GTCAGTAATTTCTTATGTGGATCACACGTTGAAAAGAGTGATGGAGGTGGATGATAAATAAGTAAACAAATAAGTACGGATTAAGATAAATGCAAAAAAAAGATAAATGCTATGAGGGAAATAAACAAGTGCAAAGATAGAGAATAGGGGGAAATTTTTTTAACACCTTTATTATGGTATGGTTCCTGTACAGTAAACTACACATATTTCAGATGTACAATTTCATGAATTTTGATAGATGTATACACTAGGGAAAAATTATTTTATATGGAGTGGTCAGGAAAGATGTCTCTGAGGAGGTAACATTTCCACTTTAAATGTGCAAGTTTGCTACAAACTGTTAAGCTTTAACACGTGACAGCACTAGGGGCTGGGGAGCTTAAGACGGCTGACAAAGGCAGTTGGTCAGCTGCAGGGCTATCACACTGCACAATTCCCATTGGGTTCCATGTAAATGGCGCCCCTTGGAGGTGTGCAACCCTGAGATCCTGTTTATATGAATTGTTTGTAAGTTTCCGTAAGTTGGAGGGTGGATGGTATAAGAAGTCAAGCTTCCAAGATTAGTTTTTCAGACTTTAGATTTTCCAGATACAATGTGTTTTCCAGTTTTAATAGTTGTAACACACTTGGACTTCATCTGCCATGTAGCTCTACGAAAAAATCTCCACTGGGGAATACCACAAAATTCCTGATTTCAAGCATGAGATATGGAGGGCAGGCAGTTGGCAGTCTGCAATCTGAAATTCTTTTTTTCCCCTTCCAGTGAGCTGAATTTGCTAAAAATATGTAAAACCTTCCTGACTTCTTGCTAGAAATCATCTGGTTTCTATATCTGTCTCTTTCTCTGAACAGAGGCAGAACTGTTAGATAGTTTTCAGAAAAAGTTTTCAGAGTTACTTGACCATACAGACCTCAAGGCAACAAAAAGCAGGCCAGGGCCCACACAGGCCAGCTGGGCACCTGTGGCCTCACTCAGGCAGCTAAAGCAATGAACCTCAACGTACTTTCCCAGTAATTGCTGCCCCTGAAAAACACATTTACTGCCTGTCACTGTGCACACAATTTTCTATTTAAAAAAACAAAACATCTTTGTGAACCCTCCGCCCTACACACACACACACACACACACACACACACACAAATACACTCTTCCCTTATTGATACTCTGGGGCAAGGAAGAGGTATTAAAGAGGTTGAGTGTTGAAAATATATTAATTTTTTAAAACTACTGATTAAAAATAGGATTCTCCATTCACCTGAAATGAGAGACTTTCTGAAACAAAGATGCCTTGCTTTCCCCTAAATATCAGTAATTCTCACTTAATCAGATACAGGGTTTTTCAGTTGATTTTTGAGAGCAGCCTTATGAACTTGTTCCATGCCTTTATAATGAAAAGAAAAAGTTAATTACTACCCACTTTTAACTAGGGTTTTGTTAACAACGGTATGCAAACTTTGTTTTCCAAGGCCCAGAATCAGTTTCATGCGACAGGCATTCACACCCAGATCAAAGGGAAAATGCAGTGTCCTTCTTCCACAAAGTCACTTCCACTGACTGGCCAGGAAGACAGTATCTGCTCCTTGCTGTCTGTTCCATTAGTGGTGAAAGGTTTGTCCTGATCCATTAACCTGCCCCTCACTTCCCCCGTGCCCCTCACAATGGAGTAGGGAGCTTTGCGAGGTAGCAGGGCAGCAATGAGGAACGCTCTTCCCTGACTCTGAATCAGGCAAGAGAGGCTACAGAATTGCCCAGAAATCACTCATAACCCTGGCCTTGGTGCCTCCCAACTAGGCTAACAGTCAAGAAAAAGGAAAAGAAAACACCAAAAAACAGTCAAAATAGTGCTCATTCTTTCCAAAATTATGTTTATGAGGAACCCTGGAGAAGGTCTATGAGATTATCTAAGGAGGTTATCACTTGGTACGGAAACTATCAATTAAAATATCAAACTAAAAATCTCTTTCCTTAAAGAATTTCTGTCACAATTGGTTTCCAGATGCATTTCACAAAAATCCTTTGAAACGGAGCAAAAAGGAGAACTGCTGGGTATTTTGGCATCCTCATTTATGTCATTCCTGAGACAGCACCACCCAACAGATCCCAAATCTGTTCTCAGAAATGTGCGCAAGAAAATTCTCTGGGGACTCGGGGGAGCCTGGATAAAGTGTACTGGCTCCCTGCCGGGGCAAAGAATGACATACTATTCTGTATTAAAAAGTTGGGTGGCTTTTTTTTTTTTCCTTTTCTTTCTCTCTCTTTCTTCTTTTCTTGGAGGGGAGGGGATTGTTTCTATTTTTCGTTATGTATCAAATCCCTAAAGACCACAAATAAATCCCAGACATTAATGCTGATGTAGTCGGAACAGGAAGTGTTTTAACACCAAAGCAAGCAATAAAATAGAAAAAGTTCCTGTCTTAGATCATATTAGGATGTGCTTAGCTCTTGGAAGATGCTTATCTTACTGTTAGGGAGGGGTGGTCAGTCTGTGCTCCAAAGAGTCCTGAAGATGCAGTTTGTGACCAGGATGCTGGGACCAGTGGCAGCACCAAGGAGCGGCTTGGGAGGGAAGGGCCTTGGACTCTACCATAAACTCCACTGAGTCACACATCCAAAAGCCACCCCAAATAAACATACAATCTAAGGAAAACCAGTGGACTTATTATACAAAAGCAATTTCAAAGAGGGGCCCCTGGCCACCTTCCAATCAGCTGACAACCCCTAAAGGTCCCCTAAATAGACAAGGTCAGTTTCCAAGCCACCTTCCAACTGAAGACAGCTTAGAATCCTGCTTTGCACATCTGGCTTAGCAATAATATTTCCTTCCAGCAAGGAATCCCAGAGCGGGAAGAAATGGGGGAACCCCTAGCCTGTAGCAAAAGAGCTTTGCTCCAGATTCTGGACTAGACCCTGCCCTTGGTTATGAGATGGGCCATGAACAGAACCTTCTGTAGCACTAGTTTTCTCTTCCACAAAATGAAATGGTTCAACTATAGACCAACTCTAATAGGCCTTCCAAGTCTAAAATTCTTGAATCTACATCACCAAATGTTTCAAATGAAGACAATGATAAGTGTCTCTTCATAGCCAGCTATTGGTCCCCAGGGACCTTTACTGTTTAGAACTTTCCAATGGGGTTATATTTAGTTCAGAGACAACACTGAACGTAAATGAGGAGACGAGTTCAATGAAGTGGGGTTTTTTTTTTAATTAAAATTAATTTATGAGATGTTACTTCTTATAATTCTTTACTCTGAAATTAATCTCTAAAAAACAAAACACCAACACTCTGATCTAGACTGTAATTCAGCTTTATTTGCTTTATCTCCTAGAGCTGTTCTTCTTTCCTGGAACCAGGGAACATTTTATGAGTTAAAATAAGGTGAGAGAAATAGTAGAAACCAGTAACAGTAATCAATTCAAAAGGTCTTTGATTTTTCATTTAGTTGATTGGGCTGACTTTATTTGTTTTCAATAATTTTTTTTTTCATTTTGCTGGATTAAATATCAGTAACAGGCAAAGATCAGAGTAGGGAGAAACAAATACTAACGGGTTTTTACCATGGCTCGGGTTCTGGCTTGACTATTAACTAGTCAAGTTGTGTGGCCTGGCGCACATTACTTAACCTTTGGGAATCTCAGTTCACTCATCTGCAAAATGTGGACATAACACACAGTTCCCCTTATAGTCCCCTCTACCAGGAGTTAAATGGGATAAGGACAGGGAAGAAGAATGGACATATAGTGTTGCTTCTTTGGATGACTCTCCAAAACAAGGGCATCTGCCTCATTTTTAAAAGTATAGACATTGCTACTAATTAACTATGGTGGTTAAAACAGAAACAAGTCCTAGAAAGGTTCCACATAGGCCGGATCAGGCCCAAGGCAAAGCACGAGTTGTAGCAAAAGTGAGGCTTCCAAAAGTCTACCTAAGTCAAAGGTAACTGTATTCTTTGAAGACACTGAAGTTGCTTCCCACTTTTCAGTGCCAAGATCAGGACATAGTGCAAAGGTGGATGGTGGACACTGTGGGGTTTACAACCATTCAGACTCAGGGATCTAACCTCTGGCAAACTGGGCCTAGTTTCCTCATCCATCATCTGATTTGGTTAATCTGAAACTTCCATCTGTCTAAACTGCACCCCTGCCTCTGTAACAAAGAAGAAAACTACTTCAGAATGTGACCTTACAGACACTGAATCATGTTTTGGTCCAAATGCATTTTACATTAATTAAGTTACAATTATACATTATATTACAGGTCGAGTCCTATTTCATTTGCCAATTAAGAAAGGAAAGGCCTCCACCTATACCACTCAAATGCAATTACCTCACCCCAAAGTTGTGGGTGTTTCAGTACCAAAGAAAAAAAAGGAGAAAGAGCGGTGCCTGAGGGTTCAAGAAAGCTTGAGGAGGGAACCAACCAGAAGAAAGAACTTTCATCGGGAGTTCAGAAGACTCTAGAACTGGTTATCTTCATATCTATCACCTGCATTTGGGGGCAGTTCATGCAGTACCAGCATTGCCTTTAGATCCCAAACTCCGCTCAGTAAATAAAGTCATTAGGAGGAGGTGGAGTAGAAGCTTACATACTTTCAAGCTGAACTATTCCAGATCAGCGGTCCAGGGGTGGCAAGATCTAAACTTTTCTAGAAACACCCTGTTAACCATTCATTCATTCACCTCCCCCATTCTCCATATAGATGTTGCTGCTTCTGCACTTGATTTCCACGGTCTGCCTACCCACATGGCATCCATCCTTCAAAGACCTTGCTCAAATGCTCTCTCCTCTAAAGCTAACGAACTGCTCGGTTTATCTTTCGGGTCGGGGCTGATTTCTCTCTCTTTGGCAGCCAGTGTCCCTGGGATACGTGTTGTAAACTTAGAGCTGCTTTGATCCTGCCTTGGATTGTATTTGTGTCTTGCCTTAACACTTGCTCCAGACGACAAATGAAGGCAGGCTCCTTGGAAGCATAACCACGTTCTTAGTTAAATACCTTTTTCTCTCCCAAAGCACCTCGCCCCTTCTACATAGTGGCTCAGTAACACATCTGGCAGATTAAGTGCACTGTATTTAAATATAAATACGGTTTGGGTCGCTGGTGTCATGTGTGTTGCCACACCAAACCACACTAGTAAGTTTCAAACTCCCTTGACTGGCTTCAGGCTCCCTCGCTGTCCCTGGACAGGCGCTAAGCAACCGTGAAATCACCAAAAAGACAGGGAGGCATAGGGGGAATAAAGGGAACCCGGGGCCTTAATAATCCTTACTGAGTCATCATTTCCTGAATGATGGAGCTTGCTGCTGGCTGGGGGGAGGGGGGTTGGATCGGGAGAAAGGAACCTGAGCAGCGCGCGGAGGACGAGCCTAGGACAAGCCCCCGCCCCTCGCCCCTCTGAAGCTCTCCTGGCAGCGGTGGGACCCCAGAGCCGAGGTCGGGCCCGCACCCTCGTGCTGGAGCGCCCCCCTGTGGCCATGCTGCAGACCTCACCGCTCTCGGCTCGCCCGCAAACCTCTCTCCTAGCGGCGGAAGAAACAAGACACGCAGAAAGTTTCCCAGCCAGTCGGTTAGCGAAAGGTCGAAGCCAGGTCCCGGATCCTCGATGTGCGGGGGTGGCGGGAGCGGCGCCCAGGCTGGTGGCTATGGCAAAGGGTCTGGGCCCAAACGGACCCCCCCCTCAAGGGCTCCGGGGTGCTCCCAGCGGAGCCCAGGGCCTCCAGATCCCGAGGGCAAAGGGCTTCTCCGGCACCCCAACCTTATAGCGAAGGGCGGGAGGGGAGCCTGGGCCCACACCAGGACGGGATGCCCCCTCTATCAGGACGCACCTGGGGCTCTTAGGTTTGCTTTATTCATTTTCTCATTGGAGGGAGGGGGCCACCCACTCCTTTTGGCGCATTCTGATTCCCAGCAACCCCAAGGAGCCCACCTAGAGTCCACCGCCCAGCTCATCGCCGCCCTCCCTGCTGGTGTGACAAGTGGAAACAGCAACTCCCCTTCCTCCTCCCCCTCCAGCCTCCCGGTTTGGGAGGTAATGTTTCACAAGGGTTTCCCCGCCGTCCGCAGTGGACCTGCCAACCGGGAGGCAGCGGCGGGGGACGCAGCGACCCAGGGCAGGGGGCCGGGAGCCGGCGAGGCAGGGCCCGGCGCCGCGCCTACCTCGTCCACGGTGAGCGGCATACAGATCCGGTACTCCTTTAGCAGCATGGTCCTGCCGGCCGCGGACCCCCGGGGCGGGAAGCGGCGGGATTTGGGGGGTGGTTCGCCCCCAGACCAACAAGGCTGCCGCCCAGACGCAGGACAGGGCGCCTGGAGTTCCGCGCTCAGAGCCGGCCAGCGAAGCAACCCCGGCGGTGCGCTCAGCTCCTGGCTTCCTCCTTTCCGCCCGAAAGCATGTCAAGGTTTGGGTCCGGGTGTTCGCGGCTCCCCCGCCTCCTTCCTCGCGGAGGTCGATCCGCCTGGATCGCGGTGTTGCAAAGTCAGGCAGGGAGGGATGGAGACCCGCTGGAAACCGCTTTGATCGGCAGCCCAGGGCAGTAGGAGCGGGCGCCAGATCAGGATATGCCCGGAGGCGGGCGAGGGAGGGAAAAAAGAGAGATTTCCAAAAATTAAAACGAATGCACCGAAGTCACCAGCTTGATCCGCCTCCGAAACCAGATCTGAACCTGGCGGACCTCCCCCCTTCTCCGGCCGCGGCCGGTCTGCCCAAGGCTAGTGTCACCAGGAACACATTGCAGCCGGAGCGAGAGATGCTGACTTTCCAGACAAAGGCTCGATGGGCTCCGCTCCCCGGGCGGTAAACAAGATTTCCAGCTCTTTTTAAGGCCGGTCCGCGAGGTGCTCCGGGGCTCCCTGGGAGAGAAAAGGGAAGCCGCCGCCGCTGCGGCCGTTCGGCTCGGCGTGGCTGGGGCCCGGGGTTCCTCCAACCTCTGCTCGAGGCTGCGAAGGCGGCGGGGAAGCTGC